AAACCGTATCAAATATGATACATATGGCATTACAGGGTTAAAATCACCAGAAAATGGCGCCAGAAGATAACAAACACAATCAGCAAAAGAGGCTAGGGACATGCGTTTTATTCATGACAAGTAAAAAAAAGACTAGAAAAAAGCAGCGAGCAGTAGCGCCCCCTTCTGCTCTGGAGTGTAAACGCTTCCCTCTGAGAAAAAGGAGCAGCAGGAACCTGGAGTCTTTTTCAGACCGTCCCATCCCTAGTCTATACTAGGGATGGGACGGTTTCTGAAAACCGTCTGAACCGTTGGGTTGGACTGTCTCGGTTGGGTTGGCGTGTGTTGCGTTCGGTTCCTGCTGCTCCTTTTTCTCAGAGGGAAGCGTTTACACTCCAGAGCAGAAGGGGGCACTACTGCGCCCAAAGCCAACCACCAGTAGGAAACCAGAAGAAGAAGAAGAGAAGCAGCGTAGCCGATAAAAATCAGACCGCCAACAGCAGTTTCTAGGTCTGCTGTATGGACCAGTTTGCCTTTAGATGGAAGCACATGTTGGAATTAGCACCGTTTCCTCTCTGGCAGAATCTCACCTACTTTTAACCTCAGACTGTCACAATAATGGATCAAATGTCAGACTGCTTTTTTCTTTCAGTTTTAACCTGACTATACAAGACATAATAGATTTTCCTAACAATCAACACAAACCGAACCGAACCGAAAACCGTGACCACGAAACCGTGAATCGAACCGAACCGTGGATTTTGTGAACCGTCCCACCCCTACTCCTTATCGATCCGAGTCTTTATCGATACCACTATCGATACTTTTCTGTTATTTGGTGGAAAGACGATGCAACAATATTTAGCAAATAAATAATTGTACTTTAAATTAAATGTATTTTTAATAAATGTTTGCATCAGTAGTTTAATTATATATCCTAAAACAATTAGAGCAATATACAACTGTAATACTCATGTTTCTCGCCAAAAACTCAATTTCCCTTTTCTTCACGCAACACTTGAATGCATCCAGCAGCCAATTGAATTAGCTCCCCTTTTAGGTTTCTATACAGTAATCCCTCGTTTATCGCGGGGGTTACGTTCCGAAAATGACCCGCGATAAGTGAAATCCGCGAAATAGAAAACTTTTTTTTTTTACAATTAGCAACTATTACATGTTTACAAATACAGTGACTCACGTGTAGTGTCGGTCCAGGCCGTTTCGTCGACATTATGGGTTTAGGAGATGTTCGAAATTACAAGATAATTTGGCCAACTTAATGTAAATTTGCTAAGCTGTTTTATGTACGTACACATAACTGCACGAGACGACAAAATGATAGCACAATTCGTTGCATGTTTTGATACAGGAAGCTAGAGTGAGTTTTTAGCGAATCAGAATGCAGAGCACAATGCACCAAAAAAAAAAAAAAAAGCATTTTGAAAATCCGCGAAATAGCGAATCCGCGAAAAGTGAACCGCGAAGTGGCGAGGGATCACTGTATTTGTAAATCTGACTCTAAAGGGAGTCGGACCCCCCCCAGCCGGGCCTCAGTATAACCCGCGGTCCCTCCCCAGGTGTGGTGGGAGCTGGAGGGCCCTCAGGTGCCGCTGAGGCCGGACTGCCTGGCCATCGTCAACAACTTTGCCTTCCTGCTGGGCGGAGAGGAGCTGGGGCCGGACGGGGAGTTCCACGCCTCCTCCAAAGTCTACCGCTACGACCCCCGGCAGAACTCCTGGCTGCGCATGGCCGACATGTCCGTGCCCAGGTGAGGCCTGATTTCGATTTGGACATCACGTCATCTTGGATACAGATTAACTCATTCGCTGCCAAAGACGTCTATAGACGTCTTTTATGTTTTTCAATGCGAGTGGCTTGGGGGACGATCGGCGAAAGTTTTTCCGTAAATATCGGCTTCTAGACAGAGTATGGACTAACAAATTGACCCTCTAGGGGGCAGTGCCACTTTTGATGGGAGATTAGCATAGATTGTAAGCAAATAAAAACAAACGCAATGGTTCGCTATGAGAGAACATGTCGCCGGTGAGACGCACGTCGAAGAAGAACGGAATAAGGTAGAAACAAAATCTTTTTTCCTGATGAAAGAAGAGAGTCTACTCTTT